TCCTTGACACTGAAATATGAGCAGAAGTATGCTTTTCCCTTTTATATCAAGGATTTGAGAGAAAGTCTGCCACCTATATTCTTTCGTTCCATGTTGACTGTGGCACCACATGATGGAAGCAGCGTGGATCTCTGGGTCATCTGACAGCAGTGATGCCCTGTCAATCTACATCAAATTTAATTTGCATAGTAAATAAACTTTTAATGTGTTAAGCCATTCAGATTTCAGTATTTTCTCATTACATCTCATACATACATTATCTGTATAATACACTCCTACTAATTCTGTTGTTAGTGTTAAATATTTTAATTACAAAGAAAGCAGTGCACATATTCTTGTTGCCAAAAATTCTAACAATACAGATAAATCCAATCCACTGTGTTCCTCCAAAATTCAATCCCTCCTCAAAATTAATCATATTTTTAAAAATATTGCATATAGTATTTTAAAATTTGTCCTAGGCTTTTTCTTACATACATATACTAGAAAAATGCACTCTGCTTTTTTTTTTTTTGAAACATTTTAGAGATGGGGGTCTTACTCTGTCACCAAGGCTGGAAGACAGTGATGTGATCATAGCTCACTAAAGCCTCAAACTCTTGGGCTCAAGTGATCATCCTGCCTCAGTCTCCCAAATAGCTGGAACTAGAGGCCCACATCACCTCGTCTGACCACTGTGAGTTTTAAACATACATTGGTAGCACATTGTTCTGCCTCTTGCTCTTGTCACTGAACAAAATGAATGAAGAATCTTTCTGTGACAGCACAAACAGATCCATCTCATCCTTTTAACTACTCCCTAGAATTCTAAAGTGTGCATTTGTCATAATTTGCTTACCCAATCTCTTTCTGATAGACACACACGTTGTTTCTTATTTGTTGCTATTATTAATAGAACTGATTTTCACATTGTGAAACAACAATGCTTGGGCAAGCATGCATATTTTATTACAGAAAAGAAGTAGGAAAGTGCAAATTGAATTAAAGTGGAAAGAGTGTAATGATGGTATATTTTTATAAATATTACTGATATTCTGTTTCAACAATGCTGCACCAATTTATATTCATACGTATAAATATGTGTGAATAAATCAGCTTTCACAGGCATTTTATTTGATCAACATTTTAAACTTTGGTCAAACTTGATTGAAAATATATTGTCTCACTGTTATTTTAATTTGTATTTCCTTATTTTTTAAGTGGGTTGAACAGAAAATTAACATAATCCCTCACCTATATAAAGTGAGATTTCTGCAGTGATGTCCTGAGCATCTGGAGGTGCTTGCCATAAAATTCTGATATGTCAGTAAGACATATCTCTACTTTATTTATTCATTTGTTTGTTTGTTTATTTACTTATTTATTTTTGAGTTGGATTCTCAAGTAGCTGGAACTACAGGCATATGCCACAATGCCCAGCTAATTTTTGATTTATTGTAGAGACAATTTCTCACCAAGTTGCCCAGACTGATCTCGAACCTGTGTGCTCAGGCAATCCTCTCGCTTCTGCCTCCCAAAGTGCTGGGATTATAGGCTTGAGCCACTGCCCCTGGTTTCTCGTTACTTTAAGAAGAAAAGATTTCGTTAGAATGACCAGGTTCCAGGAAATGGGCACAGAGGGGAAAACTTTAGTTTGTGAAAGACTTCAGGAGAACCAAGGGTTAGAACAATTTCCAGAATCCATGAGAGAGATCACGAAAAGCTAAACCAAATCCAGAGAGCCCAGGGAAGATGGTAGTCAGGGATTTGTATCCAGAGTTCAGCATAGGGTAGAAACTGGACCAGAAGGAATAATGGTGAGGAAACAGGCTGTGTCTTGAACAACTTTGATAAGTAAGCTTGGACATCTCTGAATAATTGTTACCACTATGATGTTGTAGTGTGATCTGAGTGAGTAGATCTATGGGATGAAAGGGACAGAGGCATGCTTCCTCAGAATCTCCCCTACTCATTTTTCAGGCAAAGTATGTCTAGCTCTCCTGCCTTACTTAGTGATGGCATCAACAGATTTTGGGAGAGCTACATCTCTTCACTGCTCTGGTGGTTCAGTGCATCCTCCTTCTCAGTGTGCGAGGGCTGAGAGCTATCTTGAGGCCTAATATGAAAGAGTATATATTCCCCTGTGTATGTGGCCCTCCCACCACTGAGGTTGTAGCTATACAAGTGGGTGGGATTGGTGATTCAAGACAGTTACAACAAGGCAAGTCGTATTAATGAGTGTCACAGAGTGTGTAGCTATAAGGAGGGAAAAATTGAAGAGGGAATGCCCTGAAACTAATTACCTCATTGACTCTACAAGTAAAGGATTGAGTGCAGACATGTCTTGAAAAAGAATCCAGATGCTATCCTCAACTCAGATTGCCTCACATTGCTCCTAACTTCTTTCCAGAACAGAGATTGGATTTTCTGTGGCTGTGTCTAGCAGCCCTTTTTGCCACCAGTCCCTGTAGTAGGGTCCTTGTCTTTAAGGCAAACATTTCCAAAGTAGATGTAGACGCTGTTCCTTATTAAATTGACAGGGAGTGACAAGTATATGTGGAATCCAAATCTCTGTCTTTATTATTGTTATAACTGTAACTTAATTAAATTGTTTTTTTTAAATAAAGGATTCTGCACTGGTCACATCAGAAGTTATCACATGACTTGTAACAAAATTTATACCACTTGTCACTGTGAAAGGAGGGCATTGGACCAGGTGTCATTCTCAGGCCTATAGAGGAAGGAGTTTCAGATTTTAAAAGGTGTAAAAGTAAACAGACTGAGGAAGTTCTGAGAGAATCACCCACTCCAGAGACCACCCCTTTTGTAATCCCAGGACTTTCTTACTCCACCTTCTACAGTCTGGGAATGGGGGATTGTATAGGGGATAGTTGGGGAGAAAGGCCTTGTTTTAAAGCTAGGTGACTCTGATCAGGAGAGTGAGAAGTCCCAGGCTACACAGGAATCAGTGACAAACTTGTATGTGAATTCTGTCAGAGTTCCTCACTCCCACAAAACAGAAGCCTTCCCTCACCTTTAAGAACTACATGCCTGCTGTCAACCCTAAGAGGCCCCATATGATGATGGCTGGAATTGTATCCCCCAATTTCTGCCTCTGACTTCTTAAAGGAGTGAAGACATTGGTCTGAACAGGAAAAAAAAGTTCCAGGCCCTGTTTAGAATTAAGGCAAAAACCCTAAATGAGATTTGAGGACACTTTCTAAACCAGAAGAGAGGAGGACCAACAGACTCCCACCCCTGTGTAAGCTCCAGGAGGTCCTTGACAGCAATCATCTGATGAACTGCCCTTTGAATTCTTAGGATTCAGGAAGCTTCAGCATCAGACTAGCAGAGGGCAGTGCCCCAGGCCTTTCAGCAGTGAAGATAAGGACCTTGAGTCAGATGAGGGAATCATCCATGCCAGATCAAAAGGGCCCCACAGAATCTGGTCTTTTGCTGTCAAGCCTAAGAAGCTCATGATGGGAGCGAATGATATAAAATTCCCTGAGTTTTACCTCTGGAGTCTTAGGGAAGTGGAAAAACTTGGTGTGAGGGGAAGGTGTTAAGTCAGTAGGGGGAGGAGTCCCAGGTCTTGCCAGGAAGTAAGAAAGGACCTTTTGTGAGGTAAGAGGATACCCACTACCCCATTGAGAGGAGGTCCCACAGAACCATGCCCCCTGCCACTAGTAGTAGCAATCCCCGGACAAGGAACATCTGATACAGTGCTTTCTGAATCCTGATTTTGGAGATTCAAGGAGGGGACAGTATTTGGACCAAGATTACGGCCTCAGGCCAGCAGATGGAAGAGTTTCAGAGCTTAACAGAAGTAAAGGTGAGGACACTGAGTGAGATCTGATGAAACCACCTACCCTAAAAGAGAGGAGTTTGTACAGAACTGCTCCTGCTGTCAGGCCCCAGGTGGGAGTGGCCGGCTGTGACACATTCTGAATTCCATTACTGCCTTCTCAAAAAAGTAAAGAGCTTTAGGTCATGAGGGGAACTATTTCCAGGCCCTGATAAAAGGTAATAGAAAGACCTTGAGTAAAGTTTGAGGGAACCTCTACTTTAAAAGATTGGGCTCTACAGATTGCTGGCTGGGCCAGGACAGGGCCTGATGAAATACCCTCTGAATTCTCCTGCTGAAATTTCAGGAAGGTGAGGACATTGGGCCAGAGTACAGCTTGAGGTCAGTAGAGGAAGAGTCCCAAGCCCTGTTAAGAGTTAAAGCAAAGATCTCGAGTTCTGAAGGAACCATCCACTCCAGATCCAAAAGGGGCCAGCACAGAATTTTACCCATGTTGTCAACAGTGAGGAACTGTGGGATAAATATATTATGCTGAGGTCTCTTTCATTTTTCCCTTTTGGATCTCAGACATGTGGGTCTTGCTCTGGGGGGCTAGGCCTCAGGTCATTAAACAGTGGAGTACTGGGCCCTACCAGAAACCCAAGTGAGGATGCTGAGTAAAGAATGAGAACACTAATGACCCCAAGATATAAAGAGTCCATCAGAGTTTTTTTTTTTACTGCTCTCATCCTGGATAATCTCGGGTAGTATGCTCAGATGAATTTTTCCTTCAGTTTTCCCACCAGGTTTGAAGAGAAATGGGTGCATTGAAATGAGGGGTCAGCAACAAAGAAGTAGAGTAAAGGGATCCTAGAACCTGTCAGAAGTCAAAATGATAGTTCTGAATGCGAAATAAATAAAACCTCCTACCCAAGAACTAAGGGGCCTCACAAAGCCTGTACCCACCAGATCCTGCTGTGATAGACTGCAGGCAAAACTGTCAGGTAGCAAACTAAGACACACTCTAGTTATTTCATAGGCTACTAAAGACAGACAAATTAAAGAATAAGAGCCTTGTGGTTCCTTGAGTAGGGCACATAAGAAAACTTGCAGAGGTGACCAGCAATAAAATCAAAGTTGTATTTATCTGGTAAATAGGCACACAGCATCTAATCTTTTTTCCTCCAGGTTACCAGATCGTATTCCCTTTTGGTTACTGCAACTGAACAAAGTTATCATGCCTCGAGGTCAAAAGAGTAAACACCGTGCCCGGGAGAAACGCCGTCAATCCAGAGAAGAGCCAGAAGTTCTAGAAGGCACTCATGTCATTGTATTAGATGAAGATGAGTATTTTTTCTTTCCCTTTGCTTTTTTCAAAGATATTTCCCAGCCTTCATTTGTTGAGACATCTAGCAATCCCCAAGGCCCTGGTAGAGCTCCATCCACCATCATCACTTCTGCAGCTGTTTCATACACAAGAAGTAATGAAGGTGTAAGCAACCAAGTGGAAGAAAGGTCAAGAGCCACACAAGACCCAGCAGCCACCGAGAATTTCCCCAGAAACTCTATAGATATGATAGTGGTTTTATTGATGCATTACCTACTATACAAATACCAGATAAAAGAGCCCATTACAAAGGCAGATATGCTGAGAAATATAATCCAAGTGCACAAAAGCCACTTTTCTGAGATCCTAAGGAGAGCTTCTGAGGGTCTGGAACTGATCTTTGGTCTTGACCTGAAGGAGGTGGATCCCTATAGGCATATCTATGTACTTGTCAGCAAACTGGAACCAGACTACGATGAAAAGCTTAGTGATGACAGAGGTGTGCCTAAGACTGGCTTTCTGATGACTGTCCTCGGTGTTATCTTCACAAAGGGTAATTGTGCCACCGAGGAGCAAGTCTGGGAGGTGTTAAATATGTTGGACATATATGATGGGAGGAAGCACTTTATTTTTGGGGAGCCCAGAAAGCTCCTTACCAAAGATTTGGTGAAAGAAAAATACCTGGAGTACCAGCAGGTGCCCAACAGTGATCCTCCCCGCTATCAATTCCTATGGGGCCCACGAGCCCATGCCGAAACCAGCAAGATGCAAGTTCTTGAGTTTTTGGCCAAGATCAATGATACAGTTCCCAGTGCCTTCCCATCCCATTATGAAGAAGCTTTGAGAGATGAAGAAGAGAGAATCCAAGCCAGAGCTGCAGCCAGGGCTCGCATTAACGCCAGGGCTAGTGCACGTTCTAGAGCTGTCTAGCAGTTCTTCCATACGTAACGTCTGGTGCAGATTCTTCACTTTGTGGTTAAAAATAAGTCTGCATTTTAAGCAGTGGAAGGTCAAGGTGGGGCAGGAAACAACACAGTGTATAACATGTTTGCTTTCATGTTCTATGTGGTGCCTTGGATAATTTTTTTACAATGTTATTTCCTTTTTTAATTATTTTAAATTTTAGATTCAAGGGGTTTATGTGGAGGTTTGTTATATGGGTATGTGGCATGACAGTGAGGTTTGGGCTCCTATTTATCCCATCACCCAAATGGTATGAATGGTACCCAATGGGTAGTTTTTTAACCTTTGCCCTTTTCTCAACCTCTCCCTTTAAGAGTCCCCAGTGTCTGTTGTTCCCATCTTTATGTTTGTGTGTACTCAATGTTTAGCTTCAGTCTTGACCTGAAGAAAGTGGATCCCAACAGGCACATCCATGTCCTTGTCAACAAACTGGAACTTATAAGTGAGAACATGCAGTATTCAGTTTTCTGTTTCGACGTTAGTTTTCTTAAAATAATGGCCTCCAACTTCATCCATGTTTCTGCAAAGAACATAATTTTTTTTTTTTTTTTTTTAGTTGGAGTCTCACTCTGTCGCCCAGACTGGAGTGCAGTGGCTGCTCCCGGCCACCTCAGCCACGACCTGCTGGGCTCCGCCTCAGGCTTCCGAGTAGCTGGAATTACAGGCATGTGCTACCATGCCCGGCTGATTTTTTGATTTATTGTAGAGATGAGGTCTCGCTGCCCAGGCGAGTCTCGAACCCACGGACTCAGGCAATCCACTCACCTCAGCCTCCCAAAGCACGGGATTACAGACTGAGCTACCGAGCCCGGCTAAAGAACATAATTTTATCTTTCTTGATGGCTACATAGCATTCCATGGTGTATATGTACCACATTTTCATTATCCAGTCCACTATTAATGGGCACCTAGGTTGGTTACATGCTTCTGCTATTGTGAATAGTGCTGTGATAAACATACGAGGGCAAATGTCTTTTTCATAGAACAATTTATACTTCTTTGGGTACATACCCAATAGTGGGATTGCTGGGTCAAATACTAAATCTAGTTTAAGTTCTTTGAGAACTCTTCAAACTGCTTTCCAGAGGGGCTAAACTAGCTTACATTCCTACCAAAAGTCTATGAACAGGCCTCCTTTCTCTGAAACTTCTTCAATATCTGTTGTTTTTTTACTTCATGATGTTGTTTCTTTTAATAGAAAGTTGAAGTAGCTTCAGAACCTAAGTTTATGAATGATGTTGCTCAATTTTTTTTCTGTATGTGAGACTTAAGAGTAAGTGGTTTATTGTTTTGTAAATCAAGTTGAGAAATGCTCCATATTATTTAGTGACTTAGAATTAGGCATTTCCTTGGAAATGTGAAAGAATTCAGTAGTGTAATAAATGGGACCAAGAAATAAAGAAAAAAGTTAAAGACGCCTTCTCTATTCACTTATAATTTGTTATGTAGAATTAAAATATATATGCCTGGATATGCTTAGGTTATTCAATAATATAGAATTAATTACATTGTAATAAATTAAATCTTTTGCACATTGGTTTATTTATTCATCAAATATTAATTGAGTATCTGCTTTTTGGAAGTTTTTGTACTAGTACTGGGAATGTCAAGATAAACGAGATCTACCTGTGCTCATTGAATTTTAGACTCTAGGAGCAGATATTATATAATGAATGTGGTAAAATATCACCTAACACCTAAAGGATAAGTCACAGAAAAAGAATGTGGGATGAGGAGTATATGGATGAAAGTATCAAGTGTAAATGCCTTGAGGCAACTGGGTTTGGAGCCTTATGAAACTACAAGTTCTTGAGTATAAGTCCATTTTTTATTTTATTTATTTTTTGAGTCATGTTCTCACTCTGCTGTCCAGTCTGAAGTTCAGTGGAACAATGACGGCTCACTGTAGCCTTGAGCTCCTGGACTGAAGTGATCCTTCCACCTCAGCCTCCCAAGTAGCAAGGACTATAACCTTGTCCCACCATACCCGGCTACATTTTAAATTTTATTTTTTGTTGAGATGGGTCTTGCTATGTTCCCCAGGCTGATCTTGAACTCCTGGCTTCAAGTTATCCTCCCACCTCAGCCTCCTAAAGTGCTGGGATTATAGACATGAGCCACCACAATTTTAAATTAAGGTGAATGTTGGGACAGAGGGGACTCTGAGATTGGTAAGCAGTGGACATCCCCTCTGAAGATGTGTCCAGAGTTGAAGACTAAACCTTGTAATGGAGAACTTTTAGCAGTTGCTTGGTATCATAAATAAGCTAAAGACAAATCTTCACCTGGGCAGGAACAGACGGTGTGCTGTGCTTCAACTCCAGTATAGGTGAACACAGTGCACAAACTAGATATTCTATGTACATTATCTCCATCAAATTGCTGAGAAATAAGGGTAATACTGTCTTGACGTGACATTCTTTGCTCTGGTCTGGGAAAGACAGAGTGTGTCTTAGTCCATATTGTGCTGTTATAACAGAATATCGGAGACTAGCTAACTTATAAAGAAAATAAATTTATTTCTTACAGTAGTGGAGGCTGAGAAGGCCAAGATCAAGGTACTGGCGTCTGGGGGTTGGGCGGGGGGAGGCTTCTTGCTGAGTTATCGTATAACAGAAGGTTGAGGTGATGAGAAAGGACAAGATAGAGAAAAGGGGGCCAAACTCACCATTTTATAACAAACCTACTCTCTTGAAAATGACATTAATCTATTCATAAGGGCAGAGTCTTCTTGGTCTATCATGTCTCATTAGGCCCTACCATACAACTGTGACATATTAAGGATTAAATGTCCAACATATACCTTATTGGGAAACACATTCATACCATAGTGGAGCCCATTCCATTGACAGTAACTGTGAATGTAATTTGGCAAATTCAAAATAAGAGATGGGTGTTTTGATGGGAGTGCATGAGGGTGTCCTTGACACATTTTCTAGAAACATCAGTTGCATCTAGCTGGGGAGGATTCTCTCAAGTCGCAACACTAAAAAAAAAAAAAAAAAAAAAAAAAATTCTCAGACATTTTTTCTCAAGTACAAACTTTTTATTGCAAAGAAACATTTTGACTGATGCGGTTTGCCATGTCCTAGAGGGCTGTGTATTCTCTAGTATCTCCAGGGTAAAAAAAAAAAAACAAAAAAAACAACTTTTCCAAGAAGGGAGGTTGGGAGTGTTTGCAATCTAAAATATAATAATGATAATAGCTAATTATCAAAGACCCAGTATTGACTGGCACTGTGCCAGATCCCTTACGTAAATTATTTACATTCTAGCTGTCAGAATTCACAAGGTATATATGAACCAAAGAGCAAGATGACTTCATCGAGCCCATTTTACAAAGAACCTGAGGCTCATAGAACTTTGCAATGTCTCCGAGTTCACATGGCCCATAAGTGACAGGGCTGAGACAAGACTCCTGGTCTGAATTCTTCTAGAGCCCACACTTTCCCTCTCTTTTCAGCCTGAGGCAAATCTTGGGTCTATTAACTCATTTCTCTTATCACTACTGCACAATGTCTCTCGGGCAAGGAAAAGAAAGATCCTGTGACCAAAATACTAAAAAGCCTAAAGAAGGCAGGTGAAAATGAAGCAAACACAATCCTCCCACCATGGTTCCTCTCGAATTGACTCGTCCTGGTCTCAGCACATGGGTCCAGTTCCAGAACTTCCCACATCACAGCAATCTCCCCCTGGGTCTTCCCCATTGTGCCCTCTTGTCCAAACTGGCTGACTAGCTCTTCCTTGCATCTTTCTCTGGAACCTGGACCCACTTCCAGAAGAACAAACAATTAAGATTCGCCCAGCCTCTCCCTGACATAGAGGCTTTCAGCTGCCTGGATTTCCTGACCTTCTCCATGTACCTCCTATGACAGCAACAACCTCATTCATGTAACTGTTCACTTCAAACATTGAAGCTCAGAAACATCTTTATCTCTCTGGATTCTTCCACTATACTCTCAAAGTGTTTTTTAATCTGTTGATGAGGAGAATATGATTTGGTGCAGAATCTACTGATATTTTATCCTGAAGCCGAGATATAATCCTGAAGTCGAGATAAGGCTTTGTTACTGAAACATGAAGGGTTGGCTTAGGGTCCTGTTGCTCATAGCACAGAAAACCAATCACGGAAACAACAAATATTGCCAGGGAAGGAAGTTTTTCATTTGGGTGATTCAGCCAAGGAGAATGGGAGGTTCATTCTCAAATTCCTCTCCCTGTCTCACTGAAGTCAAGGTTTATATAGTAGGGCAAGAATGTTGAAAAAAGGAACTAAGGGGTTGGGTATGGTGGCTCACACCTGTAATTTCAGCACTTTGGGAGGCCAAGGTAGGGGGATTGCTTAGGTCCAGGAGTTCAAGACCAGCCTGGGCAGCGCAGTGAGATCTCACTTCTACAAAAAAAAAATTAGCCAGGCATTATGGTGCATGCCTGTAGTCCCAGCTACTCATAAGACTGACAAAAAATAAATAAAAAATTAAAAAAAATTAAAAGCCCTAAGCTAAGCATGGTGGCTCCTACTTGTGATTCCAGCACTTTGGGAGGCTGAGGTGACAGGACTACCTGAGCCCACAGGTTCAAGACAAGCCTGGGCAACTTGGCGAGACCTCATCGCTACATAAATAAAAAAAATTAGCTGGACATGGTGACGTGCGCCTGTAGTTCCAGCTACTTGGAAGGCTGAGACGGAAGGATTGCCTGAGTCCACTCCAGACTGGGCAACAGAATGAGACTCTGACTAAAAAACAAAAAACAAACAAACAACAACAACAACAACAACAAACAGGCACGGTGGCTTATGCTTGTAAACCCAGCACTTTGGGAGGCAGAGGTGAGAGAATTGCCACGTTTGATACCAATCTGGGCAACTTGACAAGTTCCTGTCTCTACAATTAATAAAAAAATTAGCCAGACATAGTGGTGCACATCTGTGGTTCTAGCTACTTGGAAGCTTGAGACAGAAGGAT